CAGTCAACGAAATCGTGCTCAGTATTCCGTCCTTCAAAGAGTCATCTTTGATTTTTTCTCCCATAGCCCAGTAATTTGCTGCAAAATGACCGTTCCCCATCTTGACCTTTTCTCCAACTGCTACAACCCACTCCAAATGAGATATGCACGTATCTCTGATTCTGTTGCGGAGCATGCGAGAATATTCCCATTCGCAGATGCGATCTTCACTCTTCATACACGCACAGGGAGCATGATAGTAGCATTTATTCTCAATGCTTTTATCACAACGGGCCAGCGTATCCGTCATGAGACGTCCTAGATGGCCCAACATACAGAGCAAGAACTGGAAGGCAAAACTTCTACTCCTTAGCATTCGATTATCGTTGGGAAGTATTTTATCAACTTACAAGCTGGCAGATGTGACAAGCCGATGTCCCGATATATCTCCACAAGTGAACGCAACTATCCTTTCAATGTTGTTGCTGCTCTGATCTCTTTCATTTTCGGAGTTTTCTTCTCTCGGTTCTGACTCTTTGGACTCAAGATCTTTCATTATCTTTGGCACTGGAATACTACACACGGAAAGTATGTGCTCGAGATTTCTCCCCAAGATGAAGTTTAAGTGAGGTTCACTGGAAAACTCCAGGCTCCTAAAGGACTTTGAAGTTGCTTTGAATGCATTGTCCATACTAAGAAACTCCGACCTCGGTATCAAACACCTCTTCCAGTCTATGATTTCTGGAAAAATTTGTAATCGAAATCCCAACGTTATTTCAAGTGGCTTTGACTTTGTTGTCCAGAGGTCCTCCACACCATCCTTGATTTTGAGTTTGACTCGGCATGAACTAATCCAGCCATCTTTTAACATAAGTTCTTGCACTTGACCATTTATACAAATGGCAATGACTAAGCCGATCGTTCCGGAAGCTAGATTATTACTTTCGTTTATGGTAGCTTCATTACTTAAAATAACACTGTAACCATGTGGTCCTAGAGAAATCGAATGTTTTGCACTGTTGAAGAGGCAATTTTCGTTGATGAAGTCCAGCTCTCGAATTCGATACCAGCCCAATGGGATGAAGAAGTCAGAGACAGATGTGACTTTTACGTCCTCACCCTTTGTTTTGTACTCCCAACGATGGAAGAAAGTCTCGTTTGATACGAAGTGCTGCGAAGTTATTTCAAAACTAGGATCAGGCGTAGATGTAAATCGGGGCCAACGGTTATGAACAAATTCTCTTTTCCAAGGAGATTCAGACGCCTTTTGAATAAATTCATGTTTGTCGGAATAAGAAAAGAACCGTATGCCATATCCGCTTTCATTTTGTTCTATCAGCTCCTTTGCACGTTCGTGAACAGAACACGGTAATGGAACTTCTTCTTGGTCGACGGAAAAGAAACCAGATTGACCAATTCCTAAAAATTGCGTGATTTGTATCAGATTTCCGGATGAATCGACACTCGCTGTTGCACCGTTTTCTCCGTAAGAAGCATATGCGGTATCATCCGTTTCTCTATCAGGGGCTTTTTTGGGCATTGCAATGATGCAGTCTTCACCTTCTAATGTGTAACTCGTAATTTCACTATTTAACGGTTCTAACAATACATCATTCGCTGAGTTCAAGCAATAAATGATTTTTCGGAATTACTCACCATTCAATTCTCTTTGGAAGGCATCAACTTGCGGGCTACGAGGAATTCCTTCAAATACAAATTTAATATCATTGTTGTGCCGCTGCTCCGGCAAGCTCTCATCCTCTCTGGAGCCATGTTCTGATTGTAAGTCTCCTGAGCTGGTAGATGAAATGATCTCGGCCATATTGACTAAATCGAGAATTGCTCAATGTATAGAAATGGCGATCTGAACTGTGCGAGATTGGTTTCAATATATTGTTGAAGGTCCTACTCCAGACAAACAATGATGGTAGATGCGGATTTCTACACTCATATAAATCTCGCTCATACCCAGCGAGCGACCTATTGGGCCTCTTTAGGAATCACTTAGCGAAGCTGATTATTGTGGCGTCCGCAACCCCTGTTTAAACCACCAAGTATACTGAGGGACATATACCTCCGCACATCAAAAATCATACGATCGCAAAAACTACCCAAAGTAGTCTCCCAATCTATCACAACTATTGATCGACAAGCCACAAACACCCAATTAATCTTCACACAGATTGATCGTCTTTTAACCACTCGATTTTTCGCCGCAAGCAAATTATTCGCCAGCACTTGCATATCTACCCCACTCTGCCCTCTCTGTATCGATTATTTGGCGCGAGATGCGAGTGGTAGCCATCTTTTTAAAGACTGGGAAGATCATTCCCCCTTTGTAAATTTACAAAAACTTACACTTCACGACACCTTTGTTCGCTGCTTCCAGATACGAATTCAAAACAGGTATGCAAAGTTTTCTGGGTTTGGAAGTTTCTGTAAACCGTAACCAATATTTGATTCGTATTTACAGATGAGTATTTTGGTAGTCCTAAAACATAGCTTGTCATATCATTAGACGTAAGATACATGCATTCATTCCAGTCTCCTGTTTATTCAAGCTTCAGGAACATAGTATCTTCACACCGGGAATGATGGATTATAGCCCGTGCAATGGGTACCCGCGGCGCGATAATAACCTCAGCAAATAATCTGCGAATTATTGGGACGATTCGGCCTTAAGCCTTGATTCGTCACCTATCTACCCCATTAGGCAGGGCAAATCATTTCGCTTATTCTTGGTCCTATCCTGGTATTCCCTGCATACAACTCAGCTTTTTCCTCAAAGGCTGAGTTGTAGAATAAAACTTTGAGTTGAAATTTGATTCATAACATTCTTCAAGAATCAGAAGAGATTAAAAAGAGAGACAATGATCGACTACAGTCTGGCCAAAGCTGATGCTGAAGTCTATTGAATGAAATTGGAATAAGGAAGAAGTTAATCTCCAAATTCAACCACATGTGATTCCTGAATAAGAAAATTTTGGTTATGAAAATACTAAGATTCTCTCGATGAGAAGTAGGACAATGGTCACTGCTTCCTCCGAGAACAATGGTCTCAAAAATTCTCTCTTGATGCTTCGAAAGAGGCACTGAAAATAACTAAGGAGAGGTAGTAGTACTATTTCCACCTCGCAGCAACCACACTTCATAAATATTTGGTCTGAAGTAAATTCAATATACGCAATGAAACACACTCTCTAATCATAGTCTCACATGAAGCTCTTCAACCACCAGTCCCAATTATTTCGCCGTGGAGAACAATCCTAATCAAGCTGAGCTTTACTATACACAATGGAGAAGATATCGTTATGCCTTTAAACTTACCTCAAATAGATATTATGTCGATCTACACGAAAATAAGACACAACCGCATTGCTAATGAGCTAGTGTGCATACCTTGACATCCACAGGCCAATCTCACACATCTGGATCTATTTGATGATCAGTAATCAACACGTCACATTCGAAAGTACCCCTGAATCTTATCCCGCCAACTCCGCACACGAATCGGTTATCCTCCGCATGACTATATGATCTCTCGGATGGTCTCCCGTATTACAGAGCAGATTGTATTCAAGGGCCTAAAAAAAGTTCTGACACTGGATTCTAGAGTTTGAGGCTCTCCGCCTTCTATAGGTAGTCTAGTGTTCACTTTGCTCTTGCCCTACTATTATATAGACAGCCGTTGTTGATATTAGGTTATTTTAGCATCCTATGTGAACAGATCTCCTGTATGATCTGACACCTGACCATGCATAATTCACGATAGGCGTAAAAGCCGACTCTGACTGGTTCTAAATATCATTTTGTGACTTACATCAGTTTGCGTATAATTATATGAACGTCATCGTTCGTTGCAGTCAATTCGAAAGGTTGAAATTAACCGAAATATTAAGAGCTTTTGTTGAATTTCGCTCTTAGCTCATGACGAGTATTCTAACGAAGTGGAAGGAAAAGTAATTTAAGAGTTATACTTGACACCAAGATCAATGATTGGAAAAAGATCTCAAGGTTTTCTATTTTTGTTAGGGTTGTAAGTCTGGTTGGACGGTTAAGTCAAAACCATTGTATGAATACTATTTGATCGAATACAGTCAACTACTTGCTCATCGTATGAATATTACATGATTGGTGCCCGTAATAAGACTTTTTGAAGACGTAATGTTCAACTTTGTGTAGCGAAATTTCCAGAATTTGACTACAGAAAGGCTCTTAATATTAAGATAAATTTCGAACAAAGGGTTCAATTTAATCGATCAGGAAATAATGAAAAGAGAATTAACGGATATAACTCAAAATTATACCTTGATATAACGATCATAAAATCGAAGTAATGTAATGCTAATCGTCTTCGAAAGTGGAGGTACTACGAATTGTAAATGTAGAACAAGACGGGACTTTATTACAGCAAATTTAGATGGCATTGGAGGGGTGGGCTATTTTTTTTGTTATTTACTTCATTCAATTAGACACACATAGGCGCCTCGCATAGTCATAGTAGCGTCAGCTATAGATAGACTGAATCGATTATGAATTTACTACTACTACTATTGGTACGAGCCGTTGGGGAAAAAGAATCCTATATACACTTTTATATTATTAATACTAGAGCCACTTTTACCATCGTATTCTTACAATAATAAAGTATATTTCGGTGGCTATATCAAAGCTAGACAATTCTGACATAGCAGCCCATCGGACTACTGGATCTATGTATAGTACAATCAATCAATTAATCAATCAATTGTCCTAGAACAAAGTGAAAGGGGAAATTAACCCCGCCGCTAGGAGGTCCACTGATGGCGATAGAGCGGTTACGACTCGTATAATCACAAAGAGTTGCCGACGTTTCTCCTATCGTGCTTGAATCTAAAGCCCCCTTCCCGGCCTGTTCGACTAATATTGTGTAAAATAAATACATGCTTGGTAGTGGCTTTTCATTCCTTATAAGTGAGGGTCAAATAAGAATAAAGATATAATATTCTTTGCGCCTAGAATAGATAGTACGAACCCACCGTTCAAATTCTCGTAGCCTTTTGCTGGTCCCGCCAAGTTTTCATCTGGCCCGCTAGGTCTCTTTGGAAGTCTTCTACAAAGCGAACGACATGCACGATATGCTCAAGCTTCAACTTCTCGCTAGGCTTCTTGGCTCTCGCGTAACCCCTGGCACAGGCCACAATGTTACGGATCTGCCTGCCGTCGAACTCCTTTGAGTGCAGATCTTCTTCGGCGTACCTTTTAATCCTGTCATAGTCGGCCGATTCGATAGCATCATAATCATTAAGCTGATTTATAAATCCCATGAAGATCTTATAGGTCTGCTCCTCATTTAACTTGTCATACTTCAAGGCAATGTGCACTCTGGATTGTACGGCGACGTCGAATTGAGCGATTTGGTTTGTTGTGAGAAACATTATACCACGGTAGTATTCGAGGACTCGTAAAAAAACTTCACCAATAGTCAGCAATTACTCTTTTCTTATATGCGAGCGAAAATATATCAACGGCCATACCAGATACGAGTGCACTCCCTTCCGCCGATGGACCAATCGAGTTTTGGCTCCTACTTTGAAGAAAGACGTCTGCCTCGTCGCTAACTCAGGTCAGTTAGCGCCGTAACTGCAGAAGCTGGAGTTTGCAAACGTCATGACTCACATCAGCAAAATCGCTCTCCATTTCGTCGCGAGGTCAAATATAGTTCCTAACCTAGACTCAACCTCCCGGGCATTGGTGCCGACATCTGCAACACCGATCGAGAAGAGTGGTTTCCGGGCCGCACGAGCAATCATTTGGGCTGTATCTTCAGCTGTTCCGCCTTTGTAGATCAGGACATGGAAGAATCTTACCAGTAGACGTCTTTCCAACACCAGGAGCACCATATAGTAGGAAAACCAACCCTTTGCCTTTTTCGGCAACGAGATCTTGGAGTTCCTCTTCGTCCATACCATGATTCTGTACTAATCCAAACAACAGCTCTTTTTTCTTCTTCCCACCGTCTTTCCCAGGCCCGGAAAGATGGAGCTGCTTTAGGACATCACTGTACTCTTCATCCTTGATGGTAGACAAATTGTTGATGGCAAGCTGGGCCCACTGCTTATCTTTAAGGATGTAACCTAAAACGCGAGGTGGACAGAGCATAAATTGTAATTTCTCCCATTCTTCGTCTCTCTGCCCAGTCATCTTGTCGTAGCTCGGTTTAAAAAGCTCTTTTTGTGCTTCATTGGAGACGCAGTCTGGACAATGGCAATCATCGAAGCCGTCGATTATTTGAGTATCTCCAATTCTGGCGACGTCTAGACCATAACGGAAGTATGACTCGAAGTCAACCATCACACTGCTATCATCAACGGTCTGCGACTTTCGGATTGAGTTGTGACGTTCACTGTCACTGTCACTCTGAAGAAAGTCAGACACGTCGCCAAAATATCGAATCTAGAGACTGCTGCACTTACATCATAATCATCATTAGTAGATTGGACGCCGAAGCCTCGTTTATCAAATATGGCCTCTCCCTTGTATTCATACATTCGATGATCCTTGTCAGCAGTGCAGTACTCTCTAAACAGCTTACCACGTTTGAACAGCCTCTCTTCGATCTGACTCCACCTTTCCGGCCCAATTGCGCTCAGTGGATAGAATGGAAGTGACGCAATAGGCTTGGGTCCATCGAAACTGTCGAATTTTAGGGCTACGCTTCGTCGTTGGAAAACCGTACCAATGTAATCGTACACCCAGCAGCACAAAGTCCAGGGGGGCGGAACCCTAGACCGCCTGCTTTCCTCTCTGGGCCAAGGTGTGAAGTTATCCTCGACTACGAAGATTTGGTCTTCGTCCAGAAAGATCTGGCCATAAATGATGGTTCCTGGAGGAAAGATGGTCCAAAGCGCCTCGAACGTGATGCTCTTTTGCTTGATGAGGTCGTCGCGTGCTGTGAGATATGAGTCGAGTTTTTTGTCGCCGGAGCCGCTTTTTATCATTTCCAATAGCTCTCGTAAGTCTGACCTTGCTTGCTTGTCTTTTACGTCCACTGTTTCTTTTTCAGCTTCTTCGCGCAAAATGTCCCAGTTCAAAACGAAAGATTCGTACGGAGAGTCTATCACCACATTCTCTCCGATGAAGGTGTGACTGGGATAGTGCGCTAGAATCTTTTTGAGTAGTTTGCGGAGATCCGGATCGAATACTTCTATTTCTCCCTTGTTCGACTGCAGGTACCTGCGAAGTATGACGGCACATCCCTTCTTCTTTAGACTGGCATCTGACGTCTCATTCGAATTGAGACGGTGGTCCCTGCGCTCACCATCGTCGTCAACTTTAGAGTTAACAACACGCACCCGTTCTTCTGTGGAAGGAGACTCCTCTGCTCCTACTATTACACCGGCATCGACTGGAGTGGTATTTACGTCTTTTATCTTTGAAATTGTGTCAATGTCTGAACAAGTTTCTTTCGTCAGAGAGCCTGCCTACCTCTCTTTGTTCAGGTTCTCTTTTTAAGATGACTTCCTCGGTGCCCGATTTCTCTTTAGGACCAAGATATTTGCTCTCCAACTCCGCAAATCTCTTCTCTAGCTGCGCTAGTTTGTCCTCTACTGACATCTGTACATTGACCGTCAGCGTGATGGTACACGTGCCGAAGTTCAATGTGGATTGCGTCCTACAGTGCTTTCCACCTTATTGTTATTCACCTTTTCATCGCCATCAAACTTTTTCTCACTATCCGACCTCTTATCGCCCTCTATCTCATTTTCGTTATCTACAGTCATGATAGAATCTTGCTTGTACGCTTTGGTCAGCTAATTTGTCCCTTCTCAGTGACTGACGTCGAGGTTATACGAAACACTGAGAAGTGCAAAGAAAAGAGTCAATCTTACTGTGTCTAAGCTGATTAAATGGGTTGAGGGAAGGTCAGTGCTGTTGACGCTAGTGTCGAGCGAATATTTAACGACATAGGTACGACTCAAAAAAAAAGTAGGGCGATTTAGCAATTGATCAACCTGCTACTACGTCCGTTTACCCGTTTGATATAGAGAATCGTTATTGGTGCAGAAAAAGGTATTCAATACTTCTTATCGTATGCACTGTTATCAGATGTATTAATATAAAGAATTATTATTGGTATAGAGGATTTATCCAATACTAATACTCTCTGTAGTATGCACTGTAACGCTGTAATCAGCTGAACTAATATAAAGAATTATTATTGGCATAGAGAATGTATCCAATACTTCCTGCAGTAAGCACTACAACCGGCTGAAATAATATAAAGAATTACTATTGGCATAGAGAATATATCTAATACTTCCTTTAGTAAGCACTACAGCCGGCTGAAATAATACAAAGAATTATTATTGGTATAGAGAATATATCCAACACTAGTACTTCCTACAGCATGCACTTTAATCAGCTGAGTCAATATAGAGAATTATTATTGGGAATCGTTATTGGTGTAAAAGAAGGTGTCATACTTCCTGCAGCCTGTGTTATAGTCCTATCTTCCGCTGTAGTCTTAAAGAAATTTAACAGGAGCCCTGCTTAAAGTCGATTACCGATCTAGCTGTACGGTGTTTGCTGTCCTATTGCACTGCTTACTTCCTCTTGTAACTATCTTCACAATTTTAGACAGGAAGCCTCAATTTCCAGAGAAGAGGCAGTGATCAGGCTTCAAATTTTGGAATAACAAATCAAGGAAACATACCAATAAGCATATGGTTAAGTAAAGCAGGTCATCATTCTCTATCCACCGTGTGGTATGGCAATTGATACCCTATATGAGGTTGAGCCTTGGCAGTTATCTACTCAGGTTGCGTTGTTAACACACCATTTCAAGCCTTGTGAACTCTTTAAAGAAGGCTTTCAGCAAAAAGGAAATGTCAGTGGAAGCAACACCAACGACTGCTGTTGAGTTAACTCAAAAAGAGATGTAAGACTGTGCATAGCCTATGTCATGCAGGTGCGATTGCTAAGCATTTTAGAGACTATATAGACCGTATCAAGCAAAAGCAGAAAAACTTTCATAACTGGCTGAAGAAGGGAGAACATCTTTCGGAAAGTGAGCGAAAGTGTTTCAGCCATGAGTCAATCAGGGACGCTACAACCTACTGGACCAGTATCTCTCAGCAAAAGAAATCTGATTTTGACACTCAACATCAAACGGGATGGAGATTTTGGGCGAAAACATCCCAAACGGTCGCCGCAGCTGCTGGTCAGTTCCTAAATGACTTCAAGCCCCTTGTTGAGTTTGCATCAAATTCAGGACCTTACGGAGGCCTTGCCGTTGGAGCGGTCAGCGGCCTCTTCGCCATCGCGCAGAGTAAAAGCAAAACAGATGATATCATCGCATCTGCAATGGCAAATTTGATGGATCGCCTACCCGGATTCAAAATGCTACAAGAAATTTATGACGAATCTGATGCGCTTCAGAAACTCCTCAGAGGAAAGGTCATCCTTGCATATACCGGAATCATCGAATTTGCTATGGCTTCCGCCAAATATTACCTGAAGCTAGGCATCAAGAGGTGGTGGCTGGCTACGTGGAACTCTCAGAAGTTCATAGTGATGGCTGACAGAGTGCAAGGCTTGGTCCTTGCAGTACGACTGCAAAGCGAAGACTTGCTCACTTCGACTGTAAATTATGTACGGAAACAGAACACTGAATTGGCAAATAAGGTCAAAGAGCTCGAAGCAGAGATTACACAGCTTCAGAAAGATAGCGATAATAACAAGCTGCTGAGCCTTAGGAATCTCCTCAGGCTAAGCGGATGGTCTCCCGAAGGTTGGTCGCAAAGCCTTCATGAGTACAAAGGAGCTCTGGAAAGAGCGCGCAAAGATAGTCGTATCTTCGAATGGATGCATGGCGAAAGCATTGCAAAGTACAGAGACAATGATAAGTTCTTCAAGGACTGGAATAAATCCCACGAATCATCTATGCTTCTCATCATCGGTTTAAATCACAGAAGTTGCCGGCGGCGCGACCATTGCTGGGTATCACCTTTGGCTCTGCAACTCATAGACGAAGCCCAAACCAATGATATGGAGCTTGTTTATCATGTGTTCAACTTTGAAAGCTATACTAGCATTCATACAGCGATGGCTAAGTTAATGTTTCAGCTGCTGAAACTGCAGAGACATGTTAATCTAGCCACGCTTTCCCCGAAGCTGGAGAAATACCGCGATGAACTAGAAATTCTGGAGAAACATCGTAACGAACGAAGCAGTAAGTACAGCAGCGGCAACAGCGAGGCGGTGAGGAAGGCTCTAAAAGAGGCAGCTGTCGCCATTGTAAGGGACTTGGACCCGAAGCAGAGAATTCGTATCATCTTGGACCGAGTTGATCGTTGCGAAGGAAAAGAACAAGTGCATCTTCTTCATCTCTTGATCCAGATTATGGAGGAATCGCGTTGCTGTGTGAAGATTTTTGCCGTCGCAAACGAGGCCTTTTGGGAGGTGGAGGGGTATCAAATCGAAGACTTCGAAAAGTACCAGAACTTTAAAATGGTCACCAAACCCCGGAAGATGACTATTGGAGGATAATTTTGACAGGCTCGAGGACTGAGTGCATTATCTAAACGGTTGCTTATCGTAGGGATAGATCTCCATGTAAATACGATTCATCCCTAGTCATGTGCAGGGCTCATGATCCATTATCATATGACTCATGTCACACTAGCCTCCACCCTTCCTCACCCCCCTCTAACACCGTCAATTATACACATCATTCCCCATTTACCTTTACTTCTCTCTCCTATTTCATTTCTCAATACACATTTTATAAAACACTCATCTAATACTTCATTATTTCACTCCTAACTATCTCACTCTCACTTCTCACCTCACCTCTATTCTATACTTCATCATCTATTCACCTATCCGTCTGTATTTATCATTAAAGATCAGATACTATATATTATATTAAAAAGTTATATTATAGTATATTATATTATATTACATTAGATTATAATCTTAAATTCTTAATTCTTTTCTTTTTAACACTATAATCCTAAAAGCCTCAATTCCAATTCCAATTCCAATTCCAATTCCAATACAAATCTCAACCCCAACCCCAACTCCAACTGTTCGCTTGAGAAGAATACGGATGACGTAGAATCTAGTATATAGACTCTGATTATCAATATATATTCAATCTAAAGAACTAGTTATCCACAGGAAGAAGCAAGCCTTACATAGGCCTTGCTACAAGACTAGCTCCTTTGATGTAGGCTATAAATGACTTCAGGTCATTCATTCAACCTTTATTTATACACTAATTCTAATTCTAACTCTAGTTCCATCTCAATCTCAATCTCAATCTCAACTCCAACTTCAATCTCCAACCTTATAATTCATACTATGTTACACTTTTCCACACCATCCTATATTATTCCACCCCTCACCCTCAAAATTCTTTTCTTTTCCCCCTATAACCATTTCCATCTCCCCATTTCATTTCCATCTCCCCATTCCCATCTCCTCATTCCCATCTCCTCCATTCATAACCTCATATACGCATGAATCTATAAAATCCCTTTCTCCTTCTTCTCCATCTATAAATAGAAAGATAGTATATAAAAAAAGGGTCTATAATGTTCACCTATACATCATTATACATATAGAAGATGTAATGGATATTCCTCTATTCCAATCCAATAAAAGTCCTCACTAGACTAATCGATCTTATAGAGTATCAAAAGCGCAGGGAGAAGATGTATATTTTATAATCTTGCGAGTGGTAATTCCTATATATATCGACGTGTAATAATAGCCTCCGTAATATATATATATGTCTGTCTGTCTGTATTTATGTAAGTTTTCGAATCCAAATATATACCACCTGACCCCAGTGCTCATAACACCATTCATCAACCCAGTATATACAAACCTTTACTATTCAATAAAACACAACCTAAACCAATCCAATGCACCCTAACCCTTTCTTCGAAATTCCCAAATCCAAGTTCCCGAAATGTAAACCCCGAATACAACCCTAAACCAACCCCAACGAAACCTTAAACCCACCCATATCCAACCCGCTCAAACTTTCTTCTACCGGCTCCAAAAGATCCATCAACCCATCCCCGAACGCATGGATATCCATCTCCTCCTTCTCTCTCTTTCCCCCAGCCCCACTCCCACCACACATTTTAACCACTTCACACGCATTCGTGATTTCAAAATTCTGAAAACTATCATAAATACTGATGAAAGAATGACCCGTATAAGGAGCTTCTGGTAATGGATAAAGATTGTGATAAATCGCTTCTTTAATCAACATTCCTAGAACCATCGCATCGCATTGTTTATTATGTTGAGGAACTTGCTCGGCGGACAAATGGGAAGGGCGACCACGACATACAAGAGTAGAGGTTTGGTAATTTTCAATCGTGTCTCTGAGTGCTGAGATTGCTTCATCAAGAGCTCGAATTCGATCTTGTTCGATGTTTTCTAGAAATCGATTAGCACTTGAGTCATCAAGTTACGATCAGGGCAACAAACCAATAACAGAACTCGGCACCGGAATATCCCAATTCGAATCCCTAATCATCTCGGCCAAACTCGTCGTACTCTCTTGTTGAAAAATCCTCGTCAAAGAAGTAAAATCCCTCGCCTTTTCGAAAACCCATGAAATACAAAGCCATTGCAAACACACTTCAATTCCATCCTCTGCCATACTCGATGGAAATTTCTTTTTCGCCTGGGAAATCCACATATCTGAATATATTTGCACCGCTTCATGTAATCGATATTTATCCACCAAAATCGCCAGATGCGTAAGCAAACCAAGTTTAACTTTTCGAGGCACATCTTTATGATGACAATGAACGATATCAACCAGGATGCGCATGGCATCTGGATCATCATCGGGGAGGGGAACTTCGACTTTCCCATGGGCTTTCATCGCATATCCTTCTTTGAAATTACTCCATTGAAGCATTGCTTTGAAGACCGGCGAAACGAGAACCATATGTTTCGACGAAACTAACATGTGAATTTCCTTCAATTCCTTTTTGTTTTTTTCCTTTTCCTTTTCCGCAATCTCACTGACATTCAGATTTCCATCCGCATCTTCCTCGACCGTCTCCAAAACACCCACTTCCCCATCTCCGACAATCTCATCCCCAATCCCGAATCATCCACCGTCGTCGCCACCATTTCCATCCCTCCGATCTTCCTCTTCGAAACACTATCTCTCTTCCTCTCATTCAGAATCAACAACAAATCTCCATCCGGATCAATCGTCACCCGTTCCGCCATCTTCCTCCTCATCATCGCTTTCGCACACGATTTATGTTCTAAGCGTAATTGATTCTCATCCTCTTCTCTGTCCTCGGCATCTTCTCCCTCAATACTGTCATACGTTTCGATGATTTCTTCTTCGTGCGAGGGCTCGTGGATATATTTCACGCGTTTGTTTCGATGGCCTTGAGTCGAGGATTTGGAAGTATGACCCTCGGGGAACTGTTGCGGAAAAAGCGCACGTAGGAATCTGGGATGAAACGGATTGGTCATTGAGTTTCGAGGGATTGTTAAATGAAATGTGCTGAAGTGATATGAAATTGCAATCTACCTTTCGCTATGCATTTGAGTGTGAGAATTGACTATGGTAAACGATCGCATCTTGGTTTATTCTATTTGTTTACTTTGGAGGCAAAGATTTGCGACACTATCGGATTCACGAGGTTGCGTCGTTGTGTCGTTGCGTAGTGAACTGAAGGGTTGCTAGGGAGAGCCCTTGTAAGTGGGGTAGGTAGGTTTCCAAGTAAGATAAAAGTTCATGAGTTTCTCTTTTCGACCTTTGCGAATTTCTCTTGTGTGTTCGTAGATGGTGTAGATGTAGATGAGTACTGTAGCTAAGTGAATCAAGTACAGATAAATATCAATCTCATAACCAGGAAAGAGAAAGCGATAAATGAACGAGAAAATATTTATACATCAACAAGTCCCCATCTGGTGTCGTGTCACCACTCCTCCTCACGCTCTTGCATTCAAAAGATGTAGCTAACTCAACTCAGCATGTGTGTCCCTCGAAAAACTGGAGACCAAAATCAAAGAATCTGCTTCACGAACATATCTATCAATCTCATCAATCTCATCAATCTCAATCTCACACTTCAAAGACAATCAATCTGCTATCCAATCCCACGAAATCAAATGGTTCCCAGTGAAAGATCAAATTCCGAATATGTACCTATATCCAGAGTCCATACCCCAAAAAAGAGGGAGACGGATTATAACAATCACCCATTGAATATTGAAGATACAATAATAGGAGATAGGATCTCGACATTCCAATGATTGGATCCATCCACATCAACAACCAACTCAACTACCAGTACCCACCAAAGAAAGCATCAAGACCTTTACCAAATTGACGGGGCAACGGAAAATCACCCACCTACCTACCATTCTCTCCATTAGCTCCACGAGAGAGAGAACCGCTTATTCACATTCCAAATCGCATTCCAAATCATCTATCTCCCTAGTATCTACGTACCTATCTATCCCTCCATCACAAAGTCCCAAGAGATTCCCAAGAAATTCAGAATTGGATAAGTGTTGGTAATTATCGATCTTCACACTCACACTCACACTGACTCTTCAACATCTTGTATTTCCCAGTACACACACACACACACGAGCTGGAGAAAGTAACTCATATATAACTAACTGCCTACCTATATATCCTACAATCCAATCTATCCCCCTCTCTCTTCCCGCAAAAGAAAATTAGAAATAAAATAAAAGAAAAGAAAAGAAAATAAAATAAAATAAAATAAAAGAAAAGAAAAGAAAAAGAAAAGAAAAGAAAAAAAGACAAATAGATATCTACCTAGCTACCCAGAAACTCTGCATAAACTAACATTACAACTCACAAACATGCCTAGTATTCAAACATCAAACATATACTCAAACATCCAATCCATAAAATGCCCAATCATTAGATACGATAGACAAATACCAATGAATTCGTTCCGGCTGGTTGGCTGACGGAGGCTTGTTCAAAACACCACACATTCAATCGATCCCGCCGAGAAAGCCAAGCGGGCCAAGATATTTAGCTGGAAGCTTGTTTCTTCTTCATGTACTTTTATTTTAGATCAAGATCATGATATTTAGATATGGTAATCTAATCCAATTGAATCAAACTGATTCTTTTATATCACCAGAGGTCCCTTTTTAATTCCGCTTCATTCCACTTGACCTCCCATCCGTTCCCCATTTTCTCCGCCCCAACACCACATCACAACACATATCTAAACCTAGGACCATCATTCTCATCTCCCGCCTCTCCACCTACATATGGCTTCTCGCCCAACTTATCCTCTGCCTCTTTCTCACCCACTACATTACCCTTCGCATCCCTCCTACCCACCACCCCATACTTCTCATCCAATCTCTTATTCTCCCAATTCAACAGTATTCTCAACGCCAGCGCCAAAATACCATTGAAAATCATAAATGCAGTGCACACCCACATTCCCTTGCGGTAATATGGGCCATCCTCCGAGGGATACATTCTCGTTCCGAGAAGTGGACCACATTGACCTACCATATTGAGAAGTGCGATTCCCGTGCCACGCTTGGTGTCTGAGCCTTGATTATTCAAAACCCAGGGCAGAATATTCGCGATAGCGGGGAAGATTCCTGCGGCGGCGAAGAAAACACCCGTGTAGCGGGGCCCGGTTGTGGAAGTGGTGGCCTAGGGATGTTAGTTGGGATTCTATTTGGTATCATGTTTGGAATGTAATATTTACCAGTAAGATGTATCCAATGGCACCAATGACCGAGAGGGACATGATTACCAAACCACGTTGTTGAGTGCGATCAGCAATGTAGGTTGAGAGGATGACGACGAGGAACGCGAGGAAATATGGGGGAGCGGATAAACCCTGGGCGTTGATGGATGAAAACCCCATCTCGTTGAGAATAGTGGGGAGGAATACGGGGAGGGAGCTGAAGGATACATTGCATGAGAAGTACATCAAGGCTGTGAGCCAATTCTAGTGATGAAAGTATTAGAGTTTGACGCCTCAGACATACACGTAAGATGAAACGTACCTTTGGATCCGCAAGAGCTGCAGCAATATCAGCCCATTTGACACCTCCAACACGATGTTCCTCCTCTGCGCCTACTTGTCTTACGCCTCGTGCTTTAGCGACCGCTCTTTCTTCCTCGTTTAAGAAGCTTGCTTTCTCTGGACTATCGGGTAGGACAAAAAATGTCATGATCCCGGCAGCTACACATGGTATACCTTCAACCAAAAATAGGAGACGCCAATTTGCAATCGCGGCATGTCCACTAGTAATTCCATATGCCAATGCACCTGCGAAGCATGTTGCCAAGGGTGCAGCACTGAGGAAAATTCCGATTCGTATACCGATTTCGTGACGCAGATAGAAGAAAGAAAGAAGGTATGGAATACCGGGACCGTAACCGGCTTCGAAAAATCCGAGGAAAAATCTTGCTGCCATCATACCAGACCATGATTGGGTGGCTGATTGAAGAGTGGCGACGGTACCTGTGATTTTTGTGGTTAGTAATTGTACTTCCAGAAGACCCGTGGAAAATATATTGAAAACCCCTAGGTGCATTTCAAGGAAAGGTCGTTCAAAGTATAAAAATACCTCAAGGATGATAGAATGGAACGATGAAATAGTGAAACTTACCCCATCCAATTACACAGAAACAAGCCCATACATGTGGGGGAAGAACCTTCCACATCAAAGCAAACCATTCAAATACAATGTATGCGATGTAGAAAATGGTCAATAACCATTCGTATTCGCTGCTTGATATTCCGAGGTCTTTTGACATGCCCGCAGTCTTAGCATTTCTGATTCAACGTTAGACATATGACACATTTCTTCATGACAGGTACATACCCAATATTCGAGCGATCAAGATATGATAGAAGATCTATGCAAATCAGTAAAAGTTGAGAAACTCTGTAAATGAACTCTGTAGATGTAACTTACACAACAACATCACCAGCGGGATAAGGTGTTTATCCAACTTTCGCACAAGTCTCTTCTCGATCGCAGCATCTATGTGATAACCATTTTGAGCCGAAGGTGGTTCTCGAGCAGCTTCGAGTTGAGCAGTTTCTGGTTTTTCGAAAGTATCCATCTTGATGTGTTGTGGTACCAAAAGAAGTTGGAATATTTCTGGGATGCAAAATAAACGTCTTTTTCGGAGGGGTTATCAGTTGTGTCGTCAATTGTGTCTTCTGTTGTGCTATTGCTCTTTTCGACTCCACTGCATCAATCAACAGACAGCGATTGGCTCAGCGCGGCACAAATTCACTTGCAATTCAAAGTGTCACAAGGTACAAACACATTGTGAAATGAGAAAGGAAAAAAAAAAGCGAGGACATCTTCATTTTATTTCCTGAATACGGAAAAAGAAACCCCATCTTTACAACGTCACATCCGTACGCATGAGGAGGAAAAAAAGGTAGGTAGTACCTAGTCATTTCCATGTTGAGCTATCAACACGAGGATCTTGATAGGGTGGATATGTATATTCGTGGAGACCCCGCGATTTTTTTGCGACGGCAATGTCCGTTCCTGTTAGAAGACGAGAGCTTATCCGGCATTGGATGATTTTCCGACATCTTCATTCGACGGTAAAGGATTGACTTTCTACAAATGACCAAGCTTCCGGACAGCTATGCAAGCTTTTAATCTATCTGCTGAGAAGTCTTACAGCTACCCCGCAGATCTGAAATATCAAATGTTGGATTTCATCGCGATGAACCAATGAATCAGATGACGTATCAGAAACAAGAACCGTTACCATGGGAAAAATGTCAAGATTTTGTCGCTGGGACGCAACGGTAATACGAGGAAGTCTGCCGTGTTTGATAGGTACCTAGTAGGTGTAGGTATACAGATTTGTTCATCGTCGAATGATCTGATTACCTAGTATGTGATGTTGATGGGATATCCAAATCTGCACCACTGAGTACATTGTATCGCTCTTGTGTGTACGCGGTATAAGTATGTTGGTTGGGTGTATGTTGGTTGATGATCTCCATCATCGGAAGAGTATTTCCGCTTTGCATCGGCTCCGGATTACCAGATAGGCCATGGATGACAGAAACACATTACGAAGGATTCCTCGAAGCCTCAAAGCTAGAAGCTTTCTTTCTTCTTCGGTGTTAACTGTTGTCTGTTCAATTTCCGATTTCCTTTTATTATCCAGAAAGCTCCACTTTATCTCGTGCCGAAGGAAGAGCTGTTCCGTGGTGGAATTTCGGAAGGTATCGCGAAGATTAGTCATAGCAGCGTAATCAAAAGAATTCGACAGGACAGACGGACGGAGGACCGGTATCTTGCGATAATCCGAAGCGAAACACTCTGTACAGATTGTGGGTAGAACGAAAGGAAATTCTACGTGGAGTCTTTTGGAGTTCAAATGACGGATATTAGAGTTCATGAGGAAAGCGGAACGGATCGATCTATGTACCGTCGGATCATGGTTCACTTGGCATATTAAAGTTCCAAAT